AGTGGCCACGTCTATCTCGCCCTGAATAATACAGAACCCTGTTGTGGGTTGTGGAATAGCTGTGTCAAATCTTGCGAAGGTTTGTTCAACTGACGAAGAGCCTAGATGTACCTAAACAAGCAGTAGTGGAAAGGCAGAGCCCTGTCATGCAGAATAAAAGGGAACCATGATGAGCAGAGTCCTCAGCCGTCTGAAACTGACTTGCAAGGAAGCTAAGGGACTGCAAGTTGGACAGGAGGGTGCCGTCGTACGTCTTCATGCGGAGACCAACATTAACCTGACATTTGGAGAAGGAGCTTTGGTACCCTAAACCCTAAACCCTAAACCAAAACCCTAAACCCCAAACCCTAAACCGTTTTAAGCTTTTCTTCTTCATGGCTTTGCTACATTCTTCAATACCGTCTGGATCTGTGGCGAGCCGACTGACAGGGTTGCTCTTTGTGCCGAGTGGTTCAGTCTTGACAGTGGGATTTGAGGGCTCGATCGATAGTTCAAGGGTCGGCTTCCTTGAAGAGGGACTTAGTGAGTAGGTAATTCTTCGGTTTATTAGTCCCCGAAGTGTCGTGATTCCAACTGTAAGTAACCTTACATTTAAGTTTCTTACTAAGTCAAATGACCCTTTGAGTGCATGTCCGATCATCAACGTCGACAGTGTGTGCTCCGTGGCTTGGTCTAGCTCACTGTTGAAGCTGGCATCTTGGTGTCTATAATGGTTGTCTGCTTTAGAGTGGCTGTTTTCAGTCACCTCCACTCCCAAGCCTATATTGATGCTGACAAGACGTTTTGAGAGCGGTCGGGAAAGACAATTAATTCATTTTGGGTGTGGCCTCCTGCACGAACCTTGCACTGGAAGAGAGCATGGATTTAAATCTTGTTTTGAGTCATTCGACCCTCACCACTGCGATTCGATCAAATTTTATCTACATCCATTCTAAGTTAGCCCGGACAATAAAGGTCAGTCAGCAGCCCTCGAACAAGGCATCATGCCCGCATGCAGGGTTTGAGAAGTCTAGCATGAACTGACCCTAAACCTTAAAGCCTAGACCCTAAATCGTCGAGATCAGAGTACCCTGAACCCAGATCCTCCAGAGCAAAGCGCGAAAACCCTAATCCCCCAAACCCAAATCCTTAAGCCCCAAACCCGAAACTCTGAATCCAAAACCCTCGAAATCCAAGCGGCCCGGTAGGCCACCATGTAGGTGGTGATCAGATCAAGAGCCACGTTGAAGACGCAGGCGAAGCAGTAGAGAAGCATGTAGCAAACCTTTCGGTTTTAGGGTTTAGGGTTTAGGGTTTCCCGGTCTGGGGTCTAGTTGGAGGATCGGCGGACTTAGTTCGTAGCTATTCAGTAGAGTTCTAGGGATCTTATTGGGGTTATGGTACTTATAAGTCTATAAGATAACTAGTTAAAAAGTTCCCCGACCCTCCAAGCAGGGTGCATACTGAGGGACCTTATATCCTAAACCCGAAACCGTCACATGCCATCGACTCAAGGGGCGCTTCCTATGCCTGATGGGCGGTTCATGAGTATGTTATTGAACTTGACTCTTGACGACGCTTGCTGCGAACAAGTCTTCTATATGCTGCCAGGGTACATCCATGAGCCCGGTGGTTTGACTATCCAGTCTCTGTTTGCGTGCATGCGTGCGTGCGTGCGTGCGTGCGTGCGCGTGTATATATGTATGTATGCAGTCATGTCGTATGCATGTATGGATGCATGTGTGCGGATGTATGTCCGGACGTATGATTGTAGGAACGGCGTATTCCCATTCTCAGATTCTTAGCCGATTTTGTGCCAAACCTTCCACCAAACCTTAAACCCCAAACCGCAAATCCTAAACCCTAAACCCTACACCCCCAACGCAAACCCTAAACCCTGAACCCTCCTCGCCAGCCTCCCGGTCGTCGATGTAGATGAAGCGTGTGCGGTCGGCCACCTCGCTGCACACCAAATACCTGACATCGGCTTAGGGTTAAGGCCTTACGGGTTGGTTTTTTGGTTTAGGGTTTCGGGTTGAGGTGCACAGTAGTCATGATCGAGTACATTACAATCAACTCAGAAACCATGAAATTTGCAGCCTACTCGAACTTCTTCTTGTGAGTGCCAGATGCGACTGCCGAAGGATCAAAAGGGGCGGTAAGTAGGAGGTGCCTCTGATTCTCTGATAGCCCCGGTTTGGTGATACTCGTTTGCGATGAGTTGGAGCATTCTCAGGTCAACTGCAGCTGGGAACTTCGACACGAGATATTTTGGAATTATTTGCGCCAGCTGCACCTAAACACCCTACATGCCTCCCAAACAGTTTCGGAGGATCATTTTCTGCGATTTTCGCGCACACAGGAAACAAAGGAAGTCTGACATCGAATCCGCCAGCCCTGCGCTAGGATTTGGGTGTTGGGGTTAAGGGGACTTTAGGGTCGAGGGTTTAGGGTTTAGGGTTTGGGGTTTAGGGGTTTAGGGTTTAGGGGTTTAGGGTTTAGGGTTTAGGGTTTAGGTTGTGGGTTGCTGGCGGCTGGCATCAGCGCATTGCCCGCAACGACGACCATGGAGAAGGTCATGCCAGCCACGAATCCGGGCTCCTGGGAGCTTGAGATGCAGGTTTGGAATGCTTAATAAACGTTGAGGTAGAAGTGGTGGTAGTGGCCGTGTTCGCGGTAATCGCGGTGGCGATGCCCGTGGCTGCGGGGCTTTCGTTTGTGATCCAGGTGGTGTAGCAGAGCAGAAGTAACAACACCGGATATCTGAGCATGTAATATCTAGCGTACTATAAAGGCCTTCATGATAGAGTAGAGGTTTTGCGTATATCGTACAATAAAATGGAATAAGGAACGCCAAAATTGTGTCGGTATTTCATAGTAAGTGTAGACTTAGTAGATCATCGGCCTTGACTTGTGGCTAGTGAGAACGTGGCCATGGGGGGTGGTGGCTGTGGTGGCCGGAGGCATGGCGCTGTGGCGGTGGTGTTGGTCGTAATAGTGGTGGTGAAGGTAGTGGCAAGTGGCAATAGTAGATGTAAGAATCCTAACAAGCAGCAGTGGCTGTTGTGCCATTTACACTGAGAGGAAAGCACTGTAATCAGGACTCTCGCATTTATCATGATCTGAATCACAGCAGCCGCATGAGAGCATAGCATTGCAGCCGCGACAACGACCTATCAACAAGAGTACGTATTCCGCTTGTGGCTTGAGAAGTCTTTCGGCATGAGAAGTCATACTTAGAATTTTACCAACCTGCATCCGGCATTCTTTCAGGAGGTCCGAACGATTCTGCGAACTACGTTTCTCACCGTTGTCCAGAAGAGAGGTCCTGGCCGTAGGAGTAGTTGAAAGTCAAGGTGAACCTTGTTTTGCTGTCAGCTGGGTGGTTGTCAAAATTAGGGTCCCTTTTTGGGTCTTTATTATAATACGGCACCTATGATTTAGGGTACCCCAAAAGGGATCATAATTTTGACAACCACCCAGCTGGATGAACTCCCTAAACCCTGAACCCGGGACCCTAAACCTAGCCATTTCACCCGTGAAGGCCCAAGTCTCGCAGTTGCTTTTATTGTTAGCCTTACGCAAAAAGCAAAACGATGAAAACTCTGCATTCTTCACAGCCCAAGAGCCAGGCGTAGGGCAAGTAGAAGGCCACCACCCAAAGGGCCAAACCAGCAAACATGATGCACATGCCTCGGCTCATTAGCGGCTTGGAGCTCACCTTACAGGGTCTACCTTAACCCCCAAATAACCTACCTTTTTGAGGTCTTGTATAAAGAAATCATAGTAACGAACTCTGAAACAAGTAGGTTCTTTGGGGTCCAGGTAAAGCTTAAACCCTAAACCCCAAACTTGGGGTTTCACTCAATGGAGTTCTGCCAAGCCCTCAACAAACACCAAGGGTTTCAGGGGGAGGACTTAGCCGCTACACTCGGTTTTTGAACCATTTTTGGCCGACTCCACTGAACCAAACGGCCTCCTAGGGTTTAGGGTTTAGGGCTTCCTAGACACATCAGATTAAAACCACAGGGATAGGGGTTTCAAGGGTTTGGGGTTCAGAGTGTTGCTGGTTATTTTGAAGAGTTTTTAGAGCTATGAAACTTCAGGAAACTCTCCTGAATCATGGTTGCTTCCGTCTACTAGAAAGGGTTTAAGGTTTAGGGTTTAGAAGACCCTAAACCCTAAACCCTAAACCCTAAACCCCTGGCTGTCGAAGCCAACCGCAGTGCCATGCATTGCTTGGGACTCTGCCGGGTGGCCCATGGCAATGCGTTTTGCCTTGACGACGAGATCGGTGTTGGCGCAGTTCCTAGGGAGGGGTCTATGAGGCCAGGATCTCGGTAATATAGGGCTTACTATTGAGGGTCTATATTCGTAGGATCCCTTGCTGCAAATCCCAAAACCTAAACCCTAAACCCGTAAACCCTAAATCCCCAAGCCTACTGTTTTGGGCTTCTTTTTCCGAGACTCCCGTATGCTCCTTTCCGACTGCGGGTTGAAAATATCGTATAACATAGTATTAAGGAAGCCTAAGGAGCAACATCGGTAATTAATCAGGTTTCTGTATTCGGATTCCTCTTGCAAGCAGTCCGGCAGGACTCTTGCAGAGGGTGTAGGGTTCAGGGGTATGGGAGTCATGCATGGTGAAATGTTTGTCTGCCCTTAGCTCAGCTGATCTCGCACAGCGCTGCTGTCACCACCCTTGCCAGCATCGCCCCAGGTCACGACGGTGCCATCCGCCAGGATCGCAGCAAAGGCACAACGAGCTGCTTGAATATGCTGCACATTCTTCAGCTGATCTCGCACAGCACTGCTGTCTCCACCGAAGCCAGCATGGCCCCAGGTCACGACGGAGCCATCTCCCAGGATGGCAGCAAAGGCCCCAGTAGTTGCCTGAATCTGCTGCACATGCTTCAGCTGATCCTGCACAGCACTACTGTCACCTCCATAGTCAGCATAGCCCCAAGCGAGGACGGAGCCATCCCCCAGTATCGCGGCAAAGGCACATCCAGATGCTTGAATCTGATGCACATTCTTCAGCTGATCTCGCACGACACTACTGTGACCACAAGCGCCAGCATGGACCCAGGTCACGACGGAGCCATCAGCCAGGATCGCAGCGAAGGCGAACGAAATTGATTGAATCTGCTGCACATTCTTCTGCCGATCTCGCACGGCACTGCTGTCACCACCGAAGGGGGCATTGCCCCAAGTCACGACGGAGCCATCACCAAGGATCGCAGCAAAGGCCCCAGTAGTTGCCTGAATTTGCTGCACATTCTACAGCTGATCTTGCACGGCACTGCTGTCACCACCGCTGTCAGCATCGCCCCAGGTCACGACGGAGCCATCAACAAGGATCGCAGCAAAGGCATGAGAAGTTGCTTGAACATGCCGCACATTCTTCAGATTCAGCTTGTCTCGGACAGCACTGCTGTCACCACCCTTGCCAGCATCGCCCCAGGTCACGACGGTGCCATCTGCCAGGATCGCAGCAAAGGACTCGTGGGTTGCTTGAATCTGCTGCACATTCTTCAGCTGATCTGTCACAGCACTGCTGTCCCCACCGAAGCCAGCATAGCCCCAGGTCACTACGGAGCCATCTCCCAGGATGGCAGCAAAGGCATCCCCTCCGCAGCATATGTCGACTCTTCGGACCTGCAGCGTTAGCGGCTCCGCATGCGGCAACCTGGCCTTCTTTACCGGTGCTCCTCCATCAAGAACGCTTCCAGTGGAGTCCAAGAGCCGGCCTTTGCCAACCCCGAGGGCTCTCTGTGCACGCGCTCGCAGCGATTCCGCAGATTCGTCCCAGTGTGTCTGAAGTGACACCGTCTTGCCACTTATGAGGCTCACCTCAACCGTCAGCGCCATTATGGAGGCTCCCACTTCTGATCAATCCATGGCCAACATGCCGAATGCCGGAACCTCATTGAAAAGTATAGGCGCGAGAACAGTTTAAAAAGGGCTCCGTGAAATCTTACAGTTCAGTTTTATTCTAGCGGGACTAGGTCGGGCACTATAGTGATATTAGTTAGTCAGATCCCTATGATAGATAGAGGTGTAATTTGGTTTTGCAATTGGTGCGCTCGATATTTGCTTCGTCCCAGGTAACGAAAAATGGGAGTCAGTACAGTATTTGGATTCAGCTTCGCTGGGTCTTGGACATAGGCCCAACTTTCTCGACTTCTTACAAAGCTGATTTGAACCCTAAACCCTAAACCCTAAACCTAACCCCTAACCCTAAACCCTAAACCCTAAACCCTAAACCCTAAACCACCAGTGGAATACAAAGCCGAGCCTGAGCTTCAGAAGTCGAGGGGCTAGCTAGGGCTTTAGGATTTGAGGTTCTATTTCTCAAGACTAAAGACTCCGTGTCCTGCCCAGAGAGCCCAATAACCCTCAATAAAGGAATAGACCTTAAACTGTAAGGGCCCTAAACCCTAAACCCTAAACCCAGGGGCTTGATATTCTGATTTAAGGTATATTCCTTAATTAAGGGGCATTGGGCTCTCTGGGTTCGGTACGTAGCTCCAGAGTCTAGAAGAAGGGTTAAGGGTCTGGGGGTCTAGGGGTTTAGAGGTTTAGGGTTTAGGGTAGGGTTTAGGGTCTGGCGGTTTCGGGTTTAGGGGTTTAGGGTTTAGGGTTTAGGGTTTAGGGTCTAGGGGTTTAGGGTTCAGGGGTTTAGGGCTTAGGGTTAATAATTAGAATAGGGTTTTGCGGACCATTGTACTATAATTATAATAAGGAACTCCCAAAATAGTATTGGCAATTATTAAGGCCCCTTTATGTTACCGTTTGCAGACCGAGGAACTTCTGCAATTGCTGATGGTGGCCCTAAACCCTAAACCCTTAAACCCTTAAACCGTGGTGGACTTTGAGCCAACCGACCGTTGTGAATTCAGGGATTTTTGTGGGAGACTGCAGCTGCCTTATCTCGAACATACCAAAAAATAGTATAGGTTTAGGGTTTAGGGTTTAGGGTTTAGGGTTTAGGGTCTATTAAGGCCCCTATGTATGTTACGTACACTCGAAGCCTAACTTGAAAGCCGCTGCCCACAGGCCCTCGAGTCCCGGAGGACCAGATCCGAAAGGACAGAATCCATGGAAGCGACTACAATCCCCACTCCTTGGTTTAGGGGTTTAGGGCTTAGGTATATCCCCACTCCTAGACACCCTAACCCCTAAACCCTAAACCTCAACCCTTCCGAGTGCGAAGTTCAACACTTGGAAACAAGTTTCTTCCACTGGACCGTCTGCGGCTCCACGCGGGAGGCATTCAGGAGGAGCCTCTGCTAGTCCCAGGGAGCCCAATACCCCCAGGAATATAAGGTTTGGGGTGGAGGGTTTAGGGTTTAAGAATATCCCCCTAAAATTAAGGAATATACCTCAAAAGTTCAGGGCCTTACGTATTTGTATAATTCAAGATAGATGCCTGATTCATTCAACTGGTATGGGCTCTCTGGTTCCGCTCGTCTGCGACAAGCTTCAGTCTTTGCCTGCGGGGACCTATTGGACACTATGCACCTTTAAGCCGTAATTCGTCACGGAACGCTTGCCAGTAGTGATTGCCAAGATACCACTACCAAAAGAAGAACATTGTGAGAGCTCAGGGGAGCAACAACAGCAACTATCCACGTTCAGTTCTGAGTTTGACACCGGAGCAACATCCTGAGGGTACCTCCGCTGCGACGAAACTCCTGGAAGTCTTCTCCACTTCTTCATAATCTCAAGCTATGTATCCAAATGCGGATAGAGGGAGGTTGAGATAGATAGATAGATCGATAGATAGATAGATAGATAGACAAATAGTGACGAATAAATAGTTTAAATAGATTAACAGACAGACAAGCGGACAGACACACGTACAGATAGACGAAGCCAGTCATTTACAGAAGCCTGTATCTAGAAAGCCGCACTAATCCCTAAACCCTAAACCCTAAACCCTAAACCCTAGACCCTAGACCCTAAACCCTAAACCCTAAACCCGAAACCCTAAACCCTAAACCCTAATCTCTAAACCCGAAGCCGTCATGCCCAGGGGCGTGTTGCCATGGAACTCCACGCCGCCGGAGGCCTCGGCAGTTTCTACTGCCGCATCGCGGCTGGCCTGGCCGAGGTAGCGGTTTTTTAGGGTTTGGAGTTAGGGTTTAGGGTTTGGGGTTTAGGGTTTAGGTTTTAGGCTTTAGGGTTTGGTTTTAGGATGTGCCGGAGTTTACAGGGACCAGATCTAGGAGTCTGCGTCGCTTCGGTAAACTAGGATGGTGACCAATCCCTTCCGTGATTGGCAGAAAGGCAAAGACCTGCTTCATATACAACCGCCTCATATCGCACCCGTGATTTCAAGGTATCAGCACCAGCACCAGCACGACGACGCCGACTACTACTAAATACAGAAAATAGTGATTCAGAGCCTTAGACGAACTTCCGGGAAGTTGGACATCTGGAGAATTCCAGAGGGTTCTCTGCCCTATGAAAACGTTGAGATCTCCAGCCTTCAACGCCCCGAAGCCCTAGCAAAAACAAAGGTTTGGGGTTTAGCGTTTGCTGGGTTTAGGGTGTAGTGGAATCCCCCAGCCCGAAAGCTCTAATCTGCAAACCGGCGGTTCTCCAAAATCATCTTTTTAGGTCCGCGAAGTAGTACGGTACGCTTATAAACATGAGTCTAAAAGGGATCCTCATTTAGGAAACTACCCAACACACCGCCCCAAAACTGGTCTGAACGAGCCCACCTCAGTTTCGAAGATGGCATAAGCGTCTGGGCAAGTCTTAATCTTCTTCCTCGGTGCAGCTTACGATCCAAACAACACATGTTAGGATTTTGGGTCTATACGGCTTGGGGGATTCGGAAGTTTAGCAGGTTAGGGGTTTAGGTTTTAGGACTTACGTTTTAACGTTGTTTCCTTCAATCTAAGGTTGAAGCCATGGGCCCCTAGTTTGGGCCCTTCACCTACAGTACTATATACTCTATACGTACCCTGAACCCCGAAGGGCCCATATTAGCGGCCCATACTTCTAACCTTCGGTTCAAGTTGTGGTGACACCTGTGGCTCTGCGCAGGCTTTAGGGCAAGAGGTTCCAGGGCTGCAGAATTTGAGAGGTTTAGGGTTTAGGGTTTGCTGAGATCCGAGAGCTACGGTTTAGGGTTTAGGGTTGAGGCTTTAGGCCTTTTTAATCGGAATTTGAGCCTTAGGCTTTCTGGTGTGGTGTGTCAGGACTTAGCTTCAAGTTTAGGGTTTTGGGGACTGGGGCGCGTCGTCCAAGATTTCTGAAACAGCAGGGCAATGAGGCCTCGAACTTCCTTTTGTTGGTATGGGAGCCTCAATAATTAGAATATGGTTTTGGGGGTTTTGGGGTTTAGGGTTTTAGGGTTTTTGGGTTTAGGGTTTAGGGGTAATTAGAGTAGGGTTTCGGGGTCCTTGATAGTATAAGTATAATAAGCAACCCCCAAAATTCTATAGGTAATTATTGAGGCCCCTATATTAGTGACACGCCTGAGCAGGGGTTCTGGCAGTCCCTTCCTTCGAGGTGAAACGGGTGGATGCATGGCGCAGAATTCCCCGCCCCCCCTAAACCCTAAACTCTCAAGGACATGGAGCAAGATCTCGACAACGTCAACCTCCTTGCATTCCTGAGGCAAGTGTCTTGCAAGCATTTTAAGCCCCTTGGACCCATGTTCCTGCCTACCATGGAGAAATCAGAACCCGACACAATGAGGTTAGGGTTTAGGGTTTCACACTCCGCTTGAGCAATATCTGCACACTATGTCGACCAAAGCTACAAGTAGTTGCAACAGCAATCAACCATGTTCCGAAATTTGCAGCCCGCCTTTGGCACTCGGGTAAGGATGGAAACGGAAAGCTTGAGAAGTACAGGACCGGAGGATCAATACGCTAAACCCTAAACCCTAAACCAGTGCGACTTCTTCCGGGGCACCCCTGGGCACAGCCCACACTTTCGGGAAAAGGCCCTCAAAAGGAAACCCCCGAACCTTCCCTAAACCTTAAACTCTAGAACCCTAAACCCTAAACCCTAAACCCAAAACCCAAAACCCTAAACCTTAAACCCTAGAACCCTACAGCCCAAAACCCTGAACCCTAAAAGCACACATCCCTCGGCCCTCTCGGCCCCAAACCCAAAGGACCACCCCGAATCTCCACAGCATACCTTGATGGTCCAGTATACTCGGGTTTAGGTTTCAGGGACTACCTAAGCCCTGAACCCCTAAACCCCTAAACCCTAAGCCCTAAACCCTAAACCCCTAAACTATAAACCCCTAAACCCCATAAACCCCTAAACCCCAAACCCCTAAACCCCAAACCCCTAAAGGGTTTAGGGTT